AAATAAAGGAATAAATAATTAGATACTTTTACACAGAAATTTAGAAATCTAACCATATACAGCATTGTAGGACAGTCCTATGACATTTTTTTCTTGTGTCTTGTCTTCATTTATTACTTTTTTAAAAAAAAAAACAAATATTTACTTGAGAGACAGACAGTATGGTAGTAATTAGTATGACATGACAAGCAGTACGGATTTACAAGACCAGAATGACAGGCATTCCAAGCATGACCCTTCTATTACACATTACTATCTTCAGTGCAGCTGTTTAGTTCACAGGTATCAGCATATGTAGTTAGTCAGGGTGAGAATCCTATTAATTTACTGCTAGTTTCAAAAACCTGCTGAAGATTCTCAGAATCATTGCCTTATCCATCTTGTGCATATAAATGTATGGCTTTGCCCCTGTCATACTTCCTAGCTTTTCTCCTTGCCCTCTCTTCATTATTTAATCCTTAAGTTCCTGCTTTCCTTTTAATTGTGTTTTACGTTTCTATTTTTATTTCTTTTTTTGAGTTCTATATCATATAGTCTAGAGAGACTATATGATATTTACACGTGTGGGTCTGGTTTATTTCACTTATGAGTATATCTTCAAATGTATACCCATAAGTGAAGGTGATTTTAAGGAGATGTATTAACGCATTGTATTTGCAAATTTCAGTGATGTTTCTTTTATGGATACTGATTTAATCCATTGTGGAGCGTATGGTTAAAGAAATTCAGATGGGGATTGGAGTAGGCTCATTTAAATTTTTCCCAATGTTTCAAATCAGGAAGAAAGGCAGATAAGAAAAATTGAGTTCTTTGATCTTTCAGTAAATTCTAATTATGGCATCTGTTGTTGTCTCTCTGCTACAATAGCTGTAGTTTATTATGAAACACATCTGCCTAAAGAGTATGCTGTTCTTTCTTTCTTTCTTTCTTTCTTTCTTTCTTTCTTTCTTTCTTTCTTTCTTCCTTCCTTCCTTCCTTCCTTCCTTCCTTCCTTTCTTTCTTTCTTTCTTTCTTTCTTTCTTCTTTCTTTTTTCTCTGAATGCCTTCAGGGCAGGTTTGGCTGGCTTGAGTTGTGGGGATTGAACCACAACAACCTGAGCCTGACTGCTTTGTTGAAGCAGCCTCTTAAAGAACTGAGCTAAGGGGCAGGCCCTCTACATATGTATTTCTTAAGGCATAACCCAAGTGCTGTGGGTGCTTTCTCTAGACATCTGAGTTCGGGAAAGGCTGATTAATGATCTAATTAGAGTTAAATTTTAGGGGCAGTGGGATGAAAGAGAAGGAAGAGGAGCTTCTCCCCATGGAAAGACTAGGCTAGGAGCAGTCAGCATGCTTGCTTCTGTGGTTCGCACACATCTCAATCAACAATGGACACAACACCAGAGATGAGTTTTTATTTATGACAATGGGGACTGTGGCCTAGTAGGATTAATAGTAGAAATGGGATCATATTGTTATTCAAGATACATGGTTTCAATCATGTAAGCATATACCCAGTAATGTAATATGATTGTGCTACTAATTTCTATCAATTTTTGAAGGTAGCAGTTAATGTTTAAAATCTTCACTCTGACCAATTTTACATGCTAGTATCTGTAATCTGATTGATAACTTCAAAATGTAATATAACATTTTATGATATTCTTTAATTATTCTCTATTCTTGGATCAACTGCCCCCCTCAAAAGGTCTTGTCCTTTCTAGTCTTACCGATTATATCCTCGACAGATCATTCATGGATCTTATGTCCGTCCAAGAGCTCTAGGTGATGTTGCTAGCTGATGCCGGCCTCTGGATCTCTGCATATCTTGTACGGCAATCGTTCACGCAAGATGGTTTTATAGGTCTTGCTAAATGGCCAAATTGTGCAGGCTGCGCGGGCATTCCTTTGCAGCCTCCCACAGGGCTGGGGTTACAAGCACACAACACCCTTCCTGGCTATCTCTGTGCTCTTTCAGGCAACCACATCTGTGGTAATTGCTCATAACAGCAACAGGAATCAGATACAATTCGTGCCTCCTTTGTCCTCCCTCCTGATCTTTTATACTTTTGGTTCTACTCTAGGTACTCCCCCTTGACCACTCTTAAATCCTACCCAGAATTCAAGGTTTGTTTCAGTGGTTCTTTCCCCCTGAATTTGTTCCTAACACAATTGGAAGTAATTTGTGCTCCTGTAAAGCTCCAGAGCACCCAGCACCACAGATGATCCATTTAGCACAAATTCTTCACTTGGTACAGTGGAGGGCAGGCTCTGTATTTTTGCTCCTGCGCGGCTGCTACGCATGGACTTTAGGTACGTAAGACCTGAACGTTCTTTCAGTGATTGAACTAAAGAATATTATCGTAGAACATTTTTAAGTCCTTACAGTCTAAGAAATAGTTGATATTTTGTGTATAAATATAAAAATAAATTGTAACCTACATTTGCAACTTCATATGATCCGTGCAATATCTGCTCCATGTAATGATTTAGATCTCTGAATCTTTTGTGGTCAGAATTTGTAAAAGGTAAGTGCCACCAATGAGGAAACCTGTTTTAACAGAGAAAAATGTACATCCATTAGTGTGCAAATTGACCTTTTTGCTTTAAGAATGCTGACAACACTAACACCTGCATCAGATAGAAGGACCAGTGAAAACATCCAAAAAGTCAGTAATATGATTATCTTGAAAGTTTCATTGCCATAGCTGTGGTCACTTGTCCTACCTTGTCACTGATATTTACACTAATTTGATGTAACATTAATTTATATATTCTTTCTTATGTATTTATAGCAGACCAGAGTTTTCCTATTCCCTATAAATGGAAGTTTAAGACATACTTTCTGAACTTGATGATTTATAATTTTTCAAAGAATTCAGATTGCACTGTCTCTTCTGGGTTTACTAAGGACATTACCACACCAACTGCAGCAAACATTTTACCACGTGACATATGTTTCCATCTGGTCTTGGTCTTTTGGGACTCGGTAGCACATCTCCAAGAGTCGGACTTAGACATATGGTTTGAGGATTCATCTTGAGGGGTGGGTTGATTAGGCCAGGTAATGTGTGGGCTGAGCTAGTAGTGCTCGTATTTGTAACTCATGCTGCTGCTTAAGGTCAGCTGTTTATAGCTACCTGCTGTAATAGCTTTTGCTGATGGCAGTCTCGCTTCTGTCTCATCTAAAGGTCTGCTGACTGCTGGGGACCATGGCTTGGTCACCATGCTTCCCAGAAGAAAAAAAAAAACAACCACTAGGATTAGGGTCAACAAATGCACACAAGTAGCCAACACCTGCAAGCTGCCCCATTTTCTTCTTCTTTGTAGAAATGTCAAGGAAGTCTACAAGGAACGTGCTTTTCTAGTAAATAATCAACATGGACTAGTTTTTAAAGTTTCTTGGAGCTCTAACCGTTAAAGTATTAAAAATTTCATCTAGATCTAATTGTGAAAATTAATAACAATGTCACATATATTTATGAAAATAAATTAAAATACTATAGATAAAATTTATAGAAAGAAAAGCTTTCTGAATTCCCCCTATTGGCAAGATGAAATAGTTTAACATCGGTTCTTTTCTTTACTGATGTTTTTGTACATATATGGACTGAAAAAATCTTATGTATAAACCTGTACATAAGAACTGAGGAATTCTGCTATGGGAATGCCATTCATTTCTGTGAAATCTTGATGCCAAGTACAACATCGCAATCAGCAACAGAGAATTAACTTTATGCTCTCTTATCTGACAGTCCCATCGTGTTCTTGATTTTGCTCAGGACAAAAATAAAAAAGAAAACAACAGTAGGGAAAGTACAACAAAAACACATGACTTGCCAACAGATTTGGTATCTGATTATTAGAGTAATTTACTTTGCCAATATGAACACTGAAGTTTTATTTGCCTTTTTGATCTGCGCCACAGAAGACTTCACACCGTGGGACAGGGCCATCAAGATGAGATTCTGAGGGGTTGGGGGAGGAGCAGCGCAGGAAGAAGAAAGGGGAAGGGGAATTCTAGTGTTGTCGAATTAAATCATCTAAAGGACCCATTAATTATAAGGGACATTTCCACACCTGTGTACTCATGGAAAGAATCCAGAAGGGCAAATCGCCTGATTTGCAGGCCACTGCTGTGCACAATGACGAAGGAAATTTTTATTCTTTCTGACTGTAATTTTCTGATCAGCCTTTGCAGATCGGGTTTCAATAACCATCCAAGGGCTTCTCTCAGGAAATTTAGGAGGCAGAGGAAACCTTGCCCCCATCCTTCATTTGTTTCTATTGCCCGGACCTTGGGTCTTTGACTCACAGATATTTTTTTCAGGGCACCGGAGAATAAATGCACCTCTAGTGTGTGTTGTTTAAGTAATTTTCATTGCTGCTGCTTTTTATTTATTTATTTATTTATTTATTTATTTATTTATTTATTTATTTTTTACTGAGGGCCAAATCCAAGGCCTTCACCATAAGCTCTATTCCCAGCCCTTTTTAAAATTTTAATTTTGAGACAGGATATTGCTATGCTGCCAATTTGTGCTGGCCAGGCTTAAACTTGTGATGCCCCTGCCCCAGGGCCTCCCAGAGTGCTGGGATTACAGGCATGAGCTATCATGCCCAGCATGTTTAAGTAGCCTGAATGTCAATTTGGCTACTGTGCCGGAAGTAATTGTGAGCAAGGCAGAATCCTAACTAAAGCTGAGAATTGAGAAGAAGCATACGAAGAGAGATACTAGCCCTTCTCAATCTCTTCAAGTTACACTGATATGTAACATTTTGATACCAAAAAAGGACAGGTCCATCATTTATCTCTTTCAACAGTTAACTAGCAGGCAGCACAGCAACTGCAGATGTTGAGTTCAGTATTTGTAGCCCAAATTAGTGTTTGTTCACATTTCCTTTTCCTGTCATTCTGTTAACATTCTTTTTGATAACTCTTAAACCTGATACTTTAAAGTTCCCAGGAGCAACTTTTCTTCCTTCTCTGTCTTCTCGCTATACTTTTACTGCAATTTCTTGACTTCCTGATGCCTAAAGTGCTCATGTTTCAAAATCTCTGACATCTGCAACTACAGCTTTTCAGGAGAGTGAACTACTCCATTTTCAATCTTGCAAGTATCTTCCATCCATTGACAATTCTGCTTGTATTTATACTTTGGAAAGAGACTTCACTGTGAAAGCTAAGTAAAAATCCACATGTACAACCAGCACTGGGAATAGTGTAGACATTTATATTCTTTTTTTTTTTCTTTTGCTTTTTGAGACAGAGTCTCACTATGCAGTTCAGGCTGGCCTTGAGCTCGCTTTGCAGCCTAGGTTGCTCTTGAACTCTCCACAATCCTCCAACCTCAACCTCCTGAGGCATAAGCCACCATGCACGGTTTAGACATTTATATTCTAAAGGATCATCAACTTCACAAAAATCCAGTGTAAGCAAAAAATTTGATTTATCTCAGAGCCAATATCATAATTTTTGAGAAACTCACCTTTTGAAAGTCAAGATGTGTTTTTGGTCATATATTGCAATCTATGATCTGATTTTGGCTCAGTATAGGGGACAAAGGTTCATAAGACTAGCAGTTGTTTTCACTGTATTTTTGGTTTGCATATGTTTAAGATTGTTTACTATAACACAAATGACCACAATTATTTGTCTGATTAGTTCAAAATGAACATAATAATGAATTAAATTTATATAATACAAGTTGATTAATTAATAATTAAAAAGTTAACTGATGGTAAGAAGTATGAGCTATAAATATAAAAATTAGTATTAGTACAGTTCAGTGTTTTCTGGTACATATAGTAACTATATCAGCTTTTAATTTCAGTTATTCTTAAAAGAACAGATAAATCTAGCTTACTTCTGCATTTTCAATTTCAATTTTATTTTTATAGAAAACAAGTGTGAAGATTAAATTAAAAACAGGTAAATAAAACAATTTTCCCAATAATTGATGAAAACTGAAATAGTTTCTGATTTTTTTTTATGTCTACAAAATCAATAGCTGGAAGAAAGAAGAAAATTGCAAAACTTGTTCTGTTTTATGAAACAAAGATTCTTTACTCAGAGCGGAGCAGACTCTGCTGGAAGAGATTCAGAGGCATTGGAGTCAGAATATCAAGTTGCTCCCAAGTAGAAAATCCCACAGTCATAATTTTTCTTTTTGCTCAAGGACAAAAACTGAATCCAAAGCAAAGGAGAGGACAGGGCCTTACTCTGGGAGAGCCAGTGATGCGAACTGCTTCTGAAGTTGGCTGTGAAGTTTGGAAAACTGGTCAAATGACTTTTCTGTCAGGCTGATTTCATGGTTCCCGTGTGTCACCTGGATCAAATATAAATCACTGGGTTTCTTGCTGAACCCTAAAATTATTGCTCTTTGAATTGACCTGGTGGTGCTCAGCATATGGGGTTCTTGGGAGGACGTCTGAGGAGGAGGTTTGGCAGGGCTCACAGCTGACATTTGTGCAAGTACATGGATCAAGTTGTTCAGCTTAACAGGGAAACATTCCAGACTTTCCTTTATTTTCCTAGAGAAATTCAGAGTGAAAGACAGTAACACTGCCCTGAATCGACTCGTTTCATTTATAATTTGTTTCCTTGTGTTAGCCAGAGCTGCTAGTGGTGGTATGAAAACAAGAACTGTCCGTGTTCATTTGAAGCCCAACTTTTAAACATTATATTTTATAAACTTCAAGTTCACATCTAGGCTCTTTAGCAAATACACAAGAAACTTGTGGTGAAATATAGAAGTATAATTACAGTCATGCATTTTGACTTTGATAGGTTTGCCCTGTTTTCTTGTCAACTATTAGGAATTGTGTTTCAAACAGTTTAACAGTAGTTTATAATTGTTCAAAGGTATTTCCATAAACTCCAAATTGAAACCTACAAAATAATTTATGCTGAAAGCAGCCTGGAAAGCTATCCCATGTCCATACTCTCTACCCTATTCCTCTCCTCCTTCCTCTTTGTTATGACTTGCATCTAGAATGTCCCTAAAAGTGCCAGCTGCTCAAAAGCAGGAGTTTTTTTTTTTTTTTATCACGGGGGCACTGAACTGATTCGGAGGTGCATCCTCAAACCAATTCAGTAGCTGACTTGTTATATAAAGTGGGGCTCTGTTCAGAGAGGGGCTCGCTGTGGATATAAAGTGCCAGGATGTGCTTGTGACTACTCCCTTACTCTTCACTTCCTGCCCACTGTGATGGGACTAGCTGTCCTCCGCCAGACCTCCACTACCCCCTGCGTCGTTTGTGCCCTAGAGCAGCCAGAGCTATAGGCTGGGCCCCAGAGTGACAGCAGACCTCTCCTCATTCAGGCTTTCTGTGTCATGCCCTCTGCCTCCATGCTGAGAAAGGTCCTGAGCCACTCTTTTGAGCATATATACAAATTATGACTCAAATTTTGTTACTTCATTTTTAAATTTGAAATCCACTTTTCAGACCCAGTCCTAGCCCAGGTCCGGTGAGTGTGTGGGAAAGCTTCCTGCTACCCTGCGCCTGCGGGACCAGTCCCAGCCCAGGCACAGAGTGGGCCAGACCCTCTCCCATTCCCTTGGGACGCCCTCCACAACTCTGCAGCACCTCCCCCACCCAGCCCACCCAGTAGGAATTTCTGCTGCGTTCCAGGAAGATCTAGACATAGTCCTAGCCCAGACCCAGTGAGTGTGTGGGAGAGCTTCCTGCTACCCTGCGCGGCTGGACCAAATACCGGTCCCAGCCTAGGTGCGGTGTGGGCAAGACCCTCTCCCACCCACTTGGGATGCCCTCAACCACTCTGCAGCACCTCCCCCATCCCGCCCTCTGAGTAGGAATTTCTGCCCCATTCCGGGAAACCCCAGACCCAGTCCTAGCACAGACCAAGTGAGTGTGAGGGAGAGCTTCCTCTCCCCCCTACTCAAACTTGCCCCCTCTAGGCACTCATTCATGTTCAAAGTCCTACAGAAAATTGGAATAGATGGCCTCTACTTCAATCTGGTAAAAGCCATTTATGAAAACCCAACAGCTAACATAATGC